CCAAGTCTTAAAAATTTGTTTAGAGATTCTGGAGTTAAAGTATGTGAAATGGGGAAATGGTGTGATGGTGGAAGGAATTGGCAGTTCAAATTTAGAAAGGATAATCCTGCTAGGGAATATGAAGTGGAGAGAGCTTTATTAGAGGTGTTAGAGAATGTTAGGGTGGTGGAGTGGAAGGGGGATAAGAGAATTTGGAGGCATGATAGTTTTGGAAGTTATTCATCAAGGAAAGTGTTGGTAGAAAGTCCAGTTCCACGTAAGAGTTTTCTTCACCTGCCTATAAGCCAATTGTGGGTTAGATTTGCTTTGTTGAAATCATGGAAAATTGCATGTTGACCCATTTAATGAGCAAAGAAAATCATGGACAGGTGTTAATGAGCCAAAGAAAAACTTGCTTGGTTAGTTGGGATTTTTCACTATAAATACCCATGCATGCAAAGGCAATGGGCAACCAAGAGTGAGGGCAAGCAAGAGAAATTGAGAAGAGCTAAGTGGGTGGGTGCTCTTGTGAGAAAAAAGAAAGAGAGAAATTATGAAAAAATCATTGTATAGATTAAAAGAGAGTATGAGGAAGAAATTGAGAGCTTCTATACATTGAAATTAGGGTGTTGAGAGCTTCTAGGCAAAGTTATTAATGCCATTTCATACCGACCGGTATGTACCAGTTTTTGTATTAGTTCGAAATGATACAAAATCCAATTTCATTTCGGTCAAATTTCAATGTATCGGTTGATATTTTGGTGTATTGACCGGTACGCAAAAAATGGACGGTAGAAGAAATCAATTTAAATTGGAAAGAGTAGTGCTAGGGGTACTCGCCTCCTACACTCTCCAATCAACACATACCTTTTTATTGGGCCACGTAAGTTTGCTCGAAAACTATGAAATCCACCTCTTTCAACCAAAATAACGTGACCCAATGAAAATAGAAGTATTGGTTGGAGAGTGCAATTGGTGAGTGCCTCTAGTTTTGCTCAATTGGAAAATGTGTCATACAAGGTCATTTCAAATTTGAAAAATGTGTCGGTACAAAAGCAATTCAAATTTGAAAAGGTGAAGTTTACTTTTGGTCTTTAATTTTAAAGTTTTATGTAATTTTTATTTTTTAATTTTTTTTATACATTTTTTTTAGTTCATTAACTATGGAAAAATGTATTTTTTTAATTTTTTTATCAGTTATTTAGTTAAGTTTGTTTAAATATACATATTTAATATTCAAAAAAAGAAAAAAATTATGAATATTTTATAAAATTAGTTATTTTAAACTTGTTTTCAATTTATAAGAATATAATTTATAAAAATATATATTTATAACGATAAATCCAAAACAATATGTGAAAAATTTTGGTATCCAGTACGTACCATTCTAGTAGTAAAATCAGTACGGTATTGACAACTTTGTTTTTAGGGTGTTGAGAAGTTCTTGAGTGAGAGTTTTTAAATTATGGTACTTTTTTTCTTAATAGTGAATTTATTTCTCGCTTTTCTGTGAATGTAGACTTATTGAAAAATATACAAATTGAACCACGTTAAATTGTTATCTCAATTTTTTATTGCTTCTGTTTGCGTGAGATTGTGTTGTTCGAAATTCCCAACAAAAAGATTATTAACAAATGATTCCAAACCAAAGAATACTTGATACAGACTTATGCAGAGCAATTTGGAATAAATTTTTGCAA